TTTTTTTTTCTTTTCTTATTGTTAAACTACAATTTTTATGTTGATTTGGGAGCCACAGTAATTTTAATTTCCAACTAGATATAGACCATACTATCAAAAGCTGAAAAATCCTGCTGATTGAATCATGTTGTCCCCTTGACCTACTATTATTGTTATATTGCTTCCTTGCCTTTATTTAGTCGTATGCCCGTAGTCCTGCTCATTTGTTAAGCCCTTGATCCACTAATCCTTTACTACCTCTTATAATCTGTTGATCAATTTCATTTGGAAATGAAAAAGTGACTTCTCTCGTTGGCCATCTACCTGCAGGTGATGTGGAAACTTCTTCCTCACCATATGGAAATCATTGAAGAAATCGACAAGAGGGTTTGTCCATCCTGTCTTATTTTCTCTCTTTATTATGTGTATATTGTTTTACAATTTTTGAAAAAAGAAGATGAAATTCTTGCAGTTTATAGCAATGATACGTTCAACAAAACCAGAACTTGAAAGTAAGCTTTCCAGCATGCGCATTATGGATAACAATCCCCAAAAACCAGTTGTGCGGATGGCAAATTTATGCGTGGTGTCTTCACATGCGGTATGAGCTCCCTTCTTTGTGGATCAACAAACAGATTATGTTGTGTACAACCATAATCTAAAACTCTTATGAGAATTACCGAGTGATAGTTGTTGAAAAGCTGAAAGTAGAAAATTGTATTAAACCATTAATAAGTTTTCTTGAGAACATCTCCGTATTGAATATTGATTTTTTTTTCTTTTCTTATTGTTAAACAACAATTTTTATGTTGATTTGGGAGCTACAGTAATTTTAATTTCCAACTAGATATAGACCATACTATCAAAAGCTGAAAAATCCTGCTGATTGAATCATGTTGTCCCCTTGACCTACTATTATTGTTATATTGCTTCCTTGCCTTTATTTAGTCGTATGCCCGTAGTCCTGCTCATTTGTTAAGCCCTTGATCCACTAATCCTTTACTACCTCTTATAATTTGTTGATCAATTTCATTTGGAAATGAAAAAGTGACTTCTCTCGTTGGCCATCTACCTGCAGGTGAATGGTGTTGCCCAGTTGCATAGTGACATTTTAAAGTCTGAGTTATTTGCAGACTATGTCTCTATATGGCCTAAGAAGTTCCAGAATAAAACCAATGGGATAACTCCTCGCAGATGGCTTTGATTTTGTAGCCCTGAACTCAGCCACATCATCACCAAACGGTTAAAAAATGATCAATGGGTGACCAACCTTGACCTACTTGTAGATCTTCAGAAAGTATGTACTAGAGATGATTTTTAGATCATATTAAAAATCATCTGTCGGTGAATTTTTCTGTATGGTTATAAATGTCACTACTGAACCTTCTTCTCCAATTGTTTGCTGATGATGCAGACTTCCAAGCTGAGTGGGAATCAGCCAAGATGGCTGACAAGCAGCGATTAGCTCAGTTCATATTTCAAGTGACAGGTGTAAGCATTGACCCAAATAGCCTCTTTGACTTACAGTTCTAGCGGATCCATGAATATAAAAGACAGCTGCTAAATATTCTGGGTGTGGTCTATAGGTACAAGAAGTTAAAGGTATCATAAACTTCTTTGTGTTCAAACTATTAATCATGTAATTTTTTTGCTTAAATAACTTTACCTTGCTAACAAAATTTCATTACACCTACTGCCTACATACACTAAGTTTGTTGTGTCAATATATTCTCCACACACATATATCTGGGTATGTCAACAGAGTTCATAATTCATAAATGTCAATGCACCTGACAGTCATATAATAGATAATTTGGTCTGGTCTTCCTTTTTTTATTATGGTAAAATCCTGAAATGATTATAATCTTTTACAAGCAATTAGTTCAATGAAGTTAAGCTCCAGTCTTCAAAGTATATCTTTCAATTTAGCAAAAATTTAAGAGTGGTTCGAGTAGTTTTGTAAATTGGGTACTGGGCTGTGCATTGATTGAACAAGCTGCAACAGAAAATGTTAGATTCCTTTCTATTTTCTTCCACAAGAATGCATTTATGCATGTATTTATTTATCTATCCGTTAATGCATATGTTCACTTCAGGGCTTTTGATTCACATTATGCTAAATTGATGATGCATGCAATAACAGGTAACAGTTTTCACTTCTAATATTTGGAAAAGCTGTTTTAGAAGTTGTATAGAAAACCGAAGAATACTTTGTTGTTGGATAAGGTTCTGAAATGGCCCTACATGTTTCTTCCTCAAATGAAGCTTGCTACATAGGTGAAAATATGGCTTAACAAGTGTGGATTAAGAAGGAGAGTTGATCAATCATCCCTAGAAACTTAGAATTCGAGGTGTTAACTCCCAAAAATCACCAAACGGCGTTGGAGTTGCACAAAACTTGGCACACACGACCGTCTAGGCAAAAGAGACTTGTGAGAGAAAACGGGACTCGAATCGGGTTTCCGGTTTGGGAGTTAGAGCCAAATTTCACGTTAGGCAAACTAGTTCCTTAAAAAACTTAGAATTCGAGCTGTTGACGCCCCAAAATCACCAAATGACGTCGGAGTAGCACGAAACTTGGCACACGACCACCTAGGCACGAGAGACTTGTGGAAGAAATCGGGACTCGAATCGGGTTCCTGGTTTGGGAGTTAGAGTCGGATTTCATGCTAGGCAAACTAGTTCCTTAAAAAACTTAGAATTTGAGGTATTGACGTCCTAAAATCACCAAACGGCGTCAGATTAGCACGAAACCTGGCACACACGACCGCCTAGGCACGAGAGAATTGTGAGAGAAGACGGGACTCGAATCGGGTTCCCGGTTTGGGAGTTGAATCGGATTTCACTCTAGGCGAATTAATTCTTTAAGAAACTTAGAATTCGAGGTGTTGATGTCCCAAAATCACCAAACGGTGTCGGATTAGAACGAAACTTGGCACACACGACCGCCTAGGCACGAGAGACTTGTGGGAGAAGTCGGGACTCGAATCGGGTTCCCGATTTGGGAGTTAGAGCCGGATTTTATTCTAGACAAACTAGTTTTGAGTACCAAAGTGTAGGAAGAATCAAGGGGAGATAATGGCTGATGTTGTCAACTTTTTGAGGATCAAAGGATTCACTGGACACTTTGGAAGTGGAGGGGACTCATCCACAAGTAGACATTCTTCTTGGTAAAGTATGTTAACTTTAATATAACAAATTTTATAAAAGAATATATGTTTGAAGAACTAGAAAGTAATGGAAACATGCATGGGACATCCAATTTGTATCTTTTTCTCTATATTTAAAGCTTCAAAAAAGGCCATCGAAAGGCTAAATTATTTGTACAGGAACCAACAGAAACACCTTAGGAGAGACCAATATGAGTTGTATGAACTTACGGCACATTAATGGGATGCACCATTTGTGAATTAGCCTTAAAATTAATTTTTTGTTCTCATAATCTCGAAAAAAAGTATGTTAGAGGGATAAATTATATAATTGATCTAATTGTAAATTGATGAGTTACTAATGTTTTTAATCTTTTGTATAATTAATTAATTACTAAAGCTTTTAATTTATTTTTTTGCAGATTGGATTGGGGTGGCGTTTTTGACGTGCAACAATGATGTAATTTGCTTGAATGTTCATTTTGTTTGATAAGGATACACATACTTTGTGGAGTTGCACTAGTTATTGTTGGATGTTTGGTAGAATTGTATAAGTTATAAGTTTTAGATATTTTGTGGATATTGCACTATTTTATTGTATTAGGATGAAATTATTTGTAATGATGAATGGATATTTTCATTTTGTTAATTCGTAAATGTGTTGATAACAGGTTAGGTTAAGTTGTGAATGGAATTGTTATATTCAATAGGTTTCAACATGAACAGGGTTATATTTGTTGAACTAAAATTCAGATTTTGATAACATAGGTATATAATGTGGAAAAAAATATTATGGAATTAGTGACAAAATTTTTCATTTCGTCTCTTATTTGGCTTAGGTGGAAGATTAATTTTGTCATGAATTCTTTATTTCGTCGCTAAATGAATTTGTCATGACGAAAAATATTGTCATATTCTGTCACTATTACCCTCAATGTGTGACGATTTTTTTTTGACATTATTTCATCATTTTTTATGATGAATTTGTTTTTGTCTCTATTGGTAGATTTTTTGACAAAAAATTTTCGTCTTCGTTTATATTAAATGTGACAAAATTATTTCGTCTCTATTTCTTATATTTATGACAAAATACTTTCGTCTCTAATTTCATTCTTTAATGATAAAATATTTTGTCGCTAATTACTTACAAGTATGTTTCCAACAGAGTGTATTGGAGACAAAAAAATTCATCACAAATTTATCATTTTTAATAATGAATTTGTTTTTGTTTCTATTGGTAGCTTCATTGACAAAAAATTTTCGTCTTCGTTTATATTAAACGTGACAAAATTATTTCGTCTCTATTTCTTATATTTATGACAAAATACTTTCGTCTCTAATTTCATTCTTTAATGATAAAATATTTTGTCGCTAATTACTTACAAGTATGTTTCCAACAGAGTGTATTGGAGACAAAAAAATTCATCACAAATTTATCATTTTTAATAATGAATTTGTTTTTGTTTCTATTGGTAGCTTCATTGACAAAAAATTTTCGTCTTCGTTTATATTAAACGTGACAAAATTATTTCGTCTCTATTTCTTATATTTATGACAAAATACTTTCGTCTCTAATTTCATTCTTTAATGATAAAATATTTTGTCGCTAATTACTTACAAGTATGTTTCCAACAGAGTGTATTGGAGACAAAAAAATTCATCACAAATTTATCATTTTTAATAATGAATTTGTTTTTGTTTCTATTGGTAGCTTCATTGACAAAAAATTTTCGTCTTCGTTTATATTAAACGTGACAAAATTATTTCGTCTCTATTTCTTATATTTATGACAAAATACTTTCGTCTCTAATTTCATTCTTTAATGATAAAATATTTTGTCGCTAATTACTTACAAGTATGTTTCCAACAGAGTGTATTGGAGACAAAAAAATTCATCACAAATTTATCATTTTTAATAATGAATTTGTTTTTGTTTCTATTGGTAGTTTCTTTTGACAAAAATTTTTCGTCCTCGTTTATATTAAACGTGACAAAATTATTCTCATCCAAACCCTTGTCACTCACCACTCCAGACTCCATCCTCTTAACCGCAATCTTAGTCCCATCATGCAACTCTCCTTTGTAAACTTTTCCAAATCCTCCTCTTCCCAATATGTTCCCTTCGCTAAAATTGTTGGTCACAGTCTTCAAAACTTGAATGGAGATTACCATATTTCTAGCTTCAATAACATGAATATCACTAGGTCCACGACTGTCATGACTGTATGTTTCACCCGTTGTCCCACCAGTCAAACCCAAATCAGCAATGGTAATCTTAACAGCATCATGGTCTGAACCTGACTGATGAGGACAAACCACCATGGCATTTGGACTCTACACCATACAAGAATGCTTTTGTTTAGCCCTACAAATGCAGAACACACTAACCCCAACAGCCAATACTGCACAAATACAACTAATTACCAAACCCACAACCACACCAGTCGACTTATTGCCACTACTTCCCGAAGTCTTTGTTCCACTAACTGAGGGCGTACCCGGCAATGGACTAACACTATCCTTCCCAATATCAAGATTCCCGTCAGTTTTTACAAGTACATTACTCTGAAAAGATGGAATGTTCCCATAAAGTCGGTTGTTCGAAACATCTAATTCTCTTAGGTTAGGCAAAGTTGTGAGCTCATTAGGGATAGTACCCGTAAGATTGTTATTAGCAAGTATTAGTCTCTGCAACGAAGTAATTGATGAAAAATTGGGAGCAATCATACCACTAAGACCCATTTTCTGACAATTGACAACAGTAATGTCTCCATTAGAACAAGTGAGACCCATCCATTGGACACAAGGATCATTCCCTTTCCAACTATCCGCAAACACCGTTGGATAACTAACAGATTGTGCAATCGTAAGCAATGTATTAACCCGGGAATCGCAACCAACACCAGGATCAGATAAGCAGAAACTATTAGTCCCAATTGTCATATCAACTGCCACCAAAGAATGAAATTTTGGGGTCGGGCCTTGTAACAGATTGTTTGTCAAATTCACAACTTTAAGCGATGGAAGGTTCACAAGAGACACGGGTACTAAACTCATGATCTGATTGTCCCTAACACTGAAATTCTGCAACCCAGTTAGCCCTGAAAGTTCCGATAAAGGACCTGAAAAAGAATTGGAATGTAACCACACTTGGTTCAATTGGGTCATGTTCTGTATCACCCCAATTGAGCCATTGAGCTTAGAACTAATACCCCGTTGCCCATTCAACCACAGAGACTGAATCGACGAACCCGAAAAGCTTCCCGGTAATCCACCCTCGAGATTGTTGAATGCCAAATGCAAGGAACCCAGATTCACAAACCCGCCAAAGAATTCGGGAATGTTTCCGATTATATTGGCCGCACTGGTAGAGAAAACCTGGAGAGCCGAGGCGTTTTGGAGACTTTTCGGGATTCGCCACGGCGAATAGGGGTTGTAATCAAGATAAACACCTTGAAGAGATGTCATTCCGAGAAAGAAGTCGGAGGGAATGGAAGAGAAATTGTTGTTGTTGAGGAACAAGAACTGGAGAGAACTCAACCCGGACAAACTCGGAACCGGACCAGGGAGTTGGCTGGACATGAACTCGAGTCTCTGGTTTTGGAGACTTTTCGGGATTCGCCACGGCGAATAGGGGTTGTAATCAAGATAAACACCTTGAAGAGATGTCATTCCGAGAAAGAAGTCGGAGGGAATGGAAGAGAAATTGTTGTTGTTGAGGAACAAGAACTGGAGAGAACTCAACCTGGACAAACTCGGAACCGGACCAAGGAGTTGGCTGGACATGAACTCGAGTCTCTGCAAGAAAGTGAGTTTGGCGAGACTCGGAGGAAAAGAGCCTTTCAGCTTCTGATGCCCAATTTGGATTCGGGTGACTCAATTGTCGCTAGAGCAACCCACGTTCTACCATTTGCAGGGGTCTGAGTCGGTCCAGCCGAGTGAACTCGGAGGGTTGATGCTCTGCTTGAGAGCCTGCATTACTGAAGCGTCGTCACTCTGACAGTGAACAAAGACAAAAGAGGAGAGGAGAGAGAGGAATATGAGGGATAAAACCCTAGAATCAAGATGGGGTGTTGTGTCCATATTCTCGAGAAAATCAGGGAGAAAGAGGAAGAAAACCATGAGAGACAGTGGTGGTGATGGGGGAGTTGATCTTGTTTAGAAGTAGCAGGGAATGGCATTTTATAAGTAGCAGAGAAAACCATAAAGAGTAATGTTGGAGATATAAATAGAAGAATCTTATATGTATTAATTAGTATATTATAGATGATGTAAGATAATTTTAGAGATTTTAAATATTTATAATTTGTATAATAGGTAGAGTCAGTAATAATGACATAATATTAATTGATATATTAATGTGTATATTAATAGGTAGAGTCAGTAAGAAAACCATGAGACACAATGGAAGCCTATTTTCTTTATTCACATAATCTATTAGCTCTACCCATTGTATAAACTCTGAAAACGATAAAGCATGATGCCCAGATTGCATGGGGCAATTTCCCAAACCTGTGAAATGGTGTTACATCTCAAGAGGCAATGCGCTACCTTTTTCAACTTCTCACTACAGACGCCATAAACATCAGAACTAAGAATTATCAAGCCCGACCTTACCATAAAGCTAGCCAAGTCCAAGCTTCAGGCCTTAAAATTTGAGAAAGGCCAATTTTATAATATAATGTAATAAGCCCATGTGATTTATTATTTACTCTTTGAATAAAAAGGCTCAAAACAAACAAAAGGACCCAAACTTTATTTTACATTAAAAATTAAAAAAAAAATTTAAAAAATGCAATCTTACAGTTCTTTTTTTTTAGATGGGAAAGTTGAGTTCTCTCTCTCTCT